AGCAGCGGCGCCTGGTGCAGGTGCACCGTGTACTTGGGCTACGCCCCCCGGGGGCTGCCCAGCGTCATTGCGGAAAAAGCTGTGCTGTCATTCCGTAAAGTCTGGCAGAGAAACCCATTCCGGTATCCGTTCCTGAGTACGACGCAGAACCTGCCGATTTCCCTTTATTCCAGCATCCAGGTGTCCAACATGTAGAATTGACATTAGCCCTCTTTTTTTTGGGGGGGGTTGGTCAGCGAGCCAAGTACTTGGCCCCAGTCCGCCGCATTCTCCATGGCGGCTGTATTTCCTGAGCGACTTTAGCGGTGGGTGGGTGGGTGGGGGGGGGGTCACGCCTCCCTGTGTATACAGCTTCTTAAATGTTCCATAGTGCACAGTGACAATGTGGAGAACCGCCGGCCGTAATTGGAAGGCTGGCAGGGAGTAATTATGCAATGGTGGGAAAAAATGTGGCCTCATTGGAAATGAGTGTCGAACTGTATGTGCAGAGTCCCGGCCGGCTCAAGATGCGGCATGTTTACGGGTATCATTAAAACTGCAGCGGAGGCATCGTTCATGAGGGAATTGTACCGTGGGGAAGGGTTGGGGTCTGGGGGGGCGTCTTAAGAGAGCCTTTTTCCGGCCTCATGCTGCGTGCAAATCTGCAAGGAGAGGAATTTGTGTTCAGGAATTTTAGTCAGCTGTTTTATTGTTTTTTTTGTGTACAGAGAGGCAAAAAATCAGTGTGTGGCTCAGTGGGTTAGGACACTGTGCCAGTGATCAGGTGGTCATGGGGTCGAACCCCAATGTCAGCTGACTGTGAAAGATCATTGGCCCCTCCCAGTTGGTCCAGAGATTTTCCGACCTTGTTTTCTCGAAGACGTTTGTCACTTTGAATGTACACTGAGTCCTTTACTGTCACCGACAGATCTGGCTCTGTCCCTATCAGCCCGTTAGTCTGCGGGCTGTAGGTATTTCCTTTGTGTTCCTGTTTGTCTGTTGACGCTACATTCATCAGAGGCTGAATAACAAAACACACTGAAAGCTCTTCCCTTTCTGGGAAAAAGGTAACCAGCTAGCAGGGACTAAACCCTTGTCATCACCCCCCCGCCTGCTTGGGTGTTTTTCTCCTTCCTTCAGCCTTTTCACCTCTCCGGCTGCTGGGGCTCCCTTTCCGTCTGCATCCTTCACCGATAAATGCTTGACATAGTGGGAGAGGAGATCCTGGCTGCTGTGATGCAGTGCGCTCTGGGGGGGGGGGGGGGGCTCTTTCTGATCCTAGCCCTCTGCCTTTTACAGCACTGGAAAGTGTTTTACTTCCTGCTGTTAGCAGTCACAAAAAATGACCTACACATAATTAATGCAGATCAACAAAACCTTTATTAATATAAGCCTGAATTATATATATTTTTGAAAGGTTATATCTGAGTTTCAAAACCTGACAGACATGTGTACATGACTTCATGGTTCCCCATCGTCCATGTTTCCAGGCCCTAACAGTACTGTCTATGTACCAGTAATAGAGAGCAGAACACTGATTGGGTACCGGCCATGGCATTGGTCGCTCTATCCTGCGTGTGATTGGACGATGGAGAAATCATATGTGGTGCTGTGTTTTTGGTCCAGATAGTGGAGACTGGTGGTGATTGAACAAGGCTCATGGGTTGAAGTGTTTGTCTCACAGCTAGGACTTCAGACTTCTGGCCCTGTAGGGGTGAAGATCTGGCCTTGAAGAACCTGTAAGTGATAACCAGGATGCTTACGTATCTGTTAGCAGTTTTATGCATTGAGAGAGCAGGGGTTACCTATGTATTCTGTTCAAATCCTCCATCTTGGCCTTGAAGGAGACATGCCGTGGAGTCAGTCAGATGATGGTTGTATGAGGATCGCTGGTGCTTTGCTCATAAGGGCAGAGGATGTGTGGGAAGCACAAATACTCGGCACTGTACCTTTAAGGGGGGGGGGGGGGGGTCAGCTTTTACACAGACACACCCCCAAGGCAGATATTTTGCAAAGTCTTGCTGTTTCCCTGCTGTGTATTCTGTGAGGGAGATTGGACCAGGGCTGAGCAAGGGGGCTAATTCCTCTTAGTAATACTGTTTATACCCATTACCCCCATCCTTCCTGCATTCCTAATGCTTTAACCACAACACATCTTGTTTTTTTTTTATCATATTTTACCTTACAGTGTTTTTGTATATACCTTTTTTCTATACTTCTTTATACCTTCCTTAACTGCCTCTTTCCTTCCCATCCCCATCAGTTTTTCCTCCTTCCTCATTATGCTCTTCCCCGCTTTCCTTGCTCCCCATTTTCTCCTCATTCTCCCTTCCCATAATGCACCATGCCTCTTCCTCCACAAACAATGGCCCTTTTGCTCCCGGTGGTGCTGCCAGAGACCCGCCCATCAGGTCTGTGGTCTCCGTTCCTCGCGGGGAGGGAAGCGAAACGCTGGCTTGGCTGCCGCTCTCTGCAGTCCTGCCCCATTTTATCAGGACGCTCATTGCCCTCTGTACGTCCCGGGGACCTCTGTTAAGGCAGAGCCTCACCCTCTGTCATTAATACGACTGCAGAGGGCAGCCACTCACTTATATCGATGCTACAATGGTTTTTCACTGATTGCTAAGTAATATGAAAACACGTTTATGCTGAATGGGGCTGATATGATTGTGGCTCTTACAACTGAAAATTAATGATGAAAGGGGGCGCTGTGGGGCTTAGTGATTAGGATGCTGCGTCTGTGATTGGAAGGTTGTTGGTTCCAGTCCCAGGGTCAACAGAGTGATTTCACTGTTGGGCCCCTGAGCAAGGCTCTTAACCCTAACCGCTTTCAGAATTGGCTGACCTTGCCTTTTTGAAAAAATAATTACCTAGCGCGACATCATCCCGTAAAATGTACGCAGTATCAGTGTTGCGGAGACACTTTTCAGGGGAACGGGTGTATTTGTTGCCCTACTGAGTGAGACAGCTTAGCAGGTAGCTCAGTAACTTAGCATGGTTGTGAGGGTGGACATGAACATCAGTTTGAAATCTGGTCGAAATGATGCTGTATTTACCAGGCAGGTACATTGGAATGTTTCACATATACCATCTTGCTCTCCTTAGAGACATACGAACACACATACACAGCTGAGAGCAAAATCTGGGGTCCAAACGCAGGGTCAGGCCACTTATCTACTTATCTGTCCCCCGTGGGGCATTTCACAGGGCTAAAGGCCTTGTTCGAAGCATCATCGGGACGGTGACTATACCACTGCCGACGGGATTCGAACCAACGACCTTCCAACAGAGCCCACACACCAACCCCACAGCCCCACAACTACCTAAAAATGTCTTCTGTTCTACACAATTGAACTCTTCCGGTTTGGGTTCAAGTCCTCCAGTCACCGCGCAGTTCTGCTCGGGTTCTGCTGTAGCCGGATGTTGTGGTCGTCACACCACAGGATTGATGACAGAAAACCCAAAGTGGATTCTTCTAATCCGGATGAGCAACCAGGTTGCTGGGAAGCAGCTGCTTCTCTGGTAAATGAACATCCTGCATGGTCTTGATGAAGCACCAGCTTGCTAAATAAAATTAGATGGTCTGGTTTTTTTGCACTAAAACATGGCACATAGGACTGGCCAGTTACCTGTTAATCCGTTCCTTTACAATATTTGCATTATGTATTAATAGCAATACAAGTTGCTATGCACTGTGTATATAGTTATTGTTATAATTGCAATGGATATTTATGTTACTGTAAGCAATATGTACTTATATTTGCAATCTTTTTTGTTTTCTGTTGCTCGAGAAAGACATGCAGAGTAAAGTTTTTATTGCACAGTGGAACTGATGGTTTACTGTACTAGATTTAACTCTTGGCTCTACTCAGGCGTGTATGTTGTGTAAAATTACATTAATTTAGTATATGTTTTTGTTCAAAGCAGCTCACAAGTGAGGAAAGTTTGGGATGAGAGCGCATGCTTTGTGTTATGGCCTCCTGCCACTAGGGGAGCAGTCATTATTTCCTGCTGCTGAATCACTGAGGATGTTTCACTCGGCTAGCCTCAGACACCCCTGGAGCAGTTGAGGTTGAGGACATAACTTAAGGGCTCAACACTTATGAATTACTCTGAATGATCCTGATCCTACGGAGCTGTCTGATAGGCCTGCATAGGTACTGTCTTTCCTGTCACTGTTACAGCAAAAGATTCTTCTTCAGAAGCTCAGTAAGCAGATACACCCCTGGCCTTTCCAGCCTCAAACTGCCTTCCAGAATGTGAAAGCAGCCCCATCTCACCCCAGACTTCCCCTTTGATGATAGCTGCCGCTTGTGGATAGAGTGTGGTGTAGAAAATTACATGATGTTCTGGTTTCCACTGCCAGGGTCACACACAGAGATTCATTTTTACCCCCATATATTTATGGGGGATCTGTAAGGGAGTCTAACATCTGAAACGCCACTTTAACACTGAACCCAATAACCTCACGCTGTACTCTTTGGACCAAGGCTTTGCCTGCCAATTAACTTTTTAAACTTCTACTAATCTTATAAATTTTTTGCATTAGTTGTTTTGTTGCTAGTTCAATAGCATGCAATAAATCAAAACATCTCAAACACTGGGTAATTTTTAATTAAATCTATATATAGATGTTGCTCGCTTTGTTTGACTTAAGATATTTTGACTTTACGATGTTTTTTTTTTTCTGTGATTAACTGAATTAATTTGTATTCATGCATTTGCTTTTCAATTACTGGTATTTAGTTAGTTAATCTAATTATTTATTTACTTATTCAATGACAGTAGTTATTTGCTATATCTGTCATATCATATTTGACTTACGTTTTTTTTCCCCTTACGATGGGTTCTTCGGAATGTATCCCCATCGTAAGTCGAGATGTGTAATAGGTTATTATTACTAAATATATGCAAAATCAAAGAGAGCAGATATGTTGAGGTATTGGTGAGGAACAATGTGATGTTTTGAGTTGCACTTACCTTACTCTTACCTTACACTTACTTTCCCCCTCCCCCCTCAGTGGTGTGCCCACACCACTGTATGAACGGGGGTGTCTGCAGCTCCCGCAGCCACTGCCTGTGCCCCCCCGGATTCACAGGCCGCCTCTGTCAGACCCCCCTGGCTCAGACTCCCAAAGTGCAGGGGGCACAGGGCAGTCAGCTGCCCACCTACACCCTGCAGGTCCTGCCCGACTCCCCCAGCGGCGCAGAGCAGCCCGGCCCCGTTCGTCCCATGACCCAGACGCACTCAGTCTTCACCCTGCCCCTCCCCCAGGGGGTGGGGCATCACTCTTCCGAAGGTACCCCCCAAGATTCAGCTTTTATTTACGTGCCGGATAATTCCACCGAAAACCTGGTGAATTCATGTTGCACATCACTGCACAGTTACTAAATTGATTAGGAAACAGGTGCTTATTTTCTGCTGTGATTTGTTTTGCAAGCCTATGGAGCATTTATACGTTTAGCAGTTTCAGTCATTTCGAGTATATTAGCAGACGCCTGATATTGTGGTGTTTACGTTAAAGCAGCGGAGGTGGTCCTCCATTCCTTATCATCTCCCAATTGCTTTGCATCCTTGGCATTATGTAGAGCCTGAGAGAAGCCTGGATGCTGGGAATTACGATATACCTGACTGTAAAAAAAAGACTGATTTTTTTTTGTGTTACATAAAAAATGGTCTTTAAATATGCAGACAGATTCTAAAGCCAAAATTATGGCACATTTATGTATGTATTTGAAATATTTTTATAGAACTGATTAATGTACACGAGTTCTGACATTTACATTGATTGCAAATACTTATCCTTTTCTCAAAGATTTCTGTGCTGATTTTGTTATTACAACCACCAGCTAATTAGTAGTTAACCAATTAAAGCCAATAAACTAAAACATATTTTTGGTTTTATTAAAAGGCCCAAATGACCATTGTTAAATTGTCAGATAAATGCACTTGCCTTGATCTTTATCTAGATCAGGGGTCTCAAACCCCATTCCTGGAGGGCCGGAGCCCTACACAGTTTTTGGTTCACCCTCATTTAACACGCATGATTCAACTCCTTGTGTTAATTATCACACAGCTCTTGAGCTGAATCATTTGTGGTGGAACAGGGAAAGAGCTAAGTTACACAGGGCTCCGGCCCCCCAGGACTGGAGTTTGACACCCCTGATCTAGATCTTCTGTTTCAGACCCATTAACAAAAAAAACAAAACAAAACAATGGGACCCCCCCACACAGTCTGAAAAGTCTTTATTAATCAAAACAACACCCAGGGCCAAGGGAGGGAGCAGTAAATCACGGAGAGCCTCTTCATTCTGCCCTGCAAAGAGGCGGTTCCTAGTGGCAACACATATGCTACTCTTTCAGTGGGAGCTTAGCTGTTCTGGGGCCTGTACTAACAAAGCGGGGTTACTGGCGTATCGGGGTAATTTGTCGGATTTAAGGTAGTCTGGGCAAAATGTAGGTGAACGAATATGAAGTCCATTTAAACTGTGGTACCTTAAATCCGACAAGTTACCCCGATAAGCCAGTAACCCCACTTCATAGTACAGGCCACTGGAAGGTGCCCTTTGTTTTGCCATTTTATAAGAAGGCAGAACATGAACAGGTGTTACCTAAGCATGGTAGTAGTTTACCTGCTTCTTCAGGACCATAAACAATATTTTTAACATTCACTGGACCGAATCAAAATCAAAAAATGGCTAAAAAAAACTGCTTACTGTTGGTGTTTGGGGTCATAATAACTTATCAGGGTCATAATAACTTATCATCCATCCACCCATCCACCTATCCATCCATCCATCCATCCATCCACCTATCCATCCATCCATCCATCCACCTATCCATCCATCCATCCGTCCATTCACCTATCCATCCATCCATCCACCTATCCATCCATCCATCCATCCATCCACCTATCCATCCATCCATCCATTTATCTTGTAACCACTTATAGAATAAAATCCTGTTGTATTTCTACGTGCATGTATTGCTTTGACTGTCTGTTTTGTGTTGGATATCATATACACTGTATGGACAGAAGTATTGGGACACGCCTCTGAATCATCGTTGAACTCGGGCGTTTCATTCAGACCCTTTGCCACAGGTGTCCAAAATCAAGCACCCAGCCATGCAGTCAGGTTTTATAAACATTTGTGAAAGACTGGGTCATTTTATAGAGCTCAGTGAATTCAAGCGTGGTTCTGTCATAGGATGTCACCTTTGCCAAGTCAATTTGTGAAATTTCTTTCCTGTTAGATATTGCACGATCAACTATAAGTGTTATTATTAGATTAGATTAGATTAGATTAGATCCTTTTCTTGTCATCGTGTGGTAGTATACAATGAAATTCAGTTTGAACCAATGAACTTAGTCTAAAATGACGTGAGTAAAAAAAAAAAAAGGCCACCATCATAACATACCAACACGTCACATCTTAAAAGTCTGTATCAGTAATAGAGTGCATGTCAATGATTATAAAATCCATATCGGTGACATCACATTGTAGCAATGCATCACATCTTTATCAGTGATTGGAAAAGACCATAACACTGCATCACTCTCAAAAGATCCAGTAGGAGTCCACATAAGTGATTAGACAAAGTCCCAGTTTAATTTGTTGGCATATTTTATATGCCTGTAAGGTAGTCATCCCGAAGTGGAAGTGTTTAGGAACAGCAGAAACTCAGACATGAAGTGGCAGACCACGCAAAGTAACAGAGCGCGGTCACCAAGTGCTGAGCTACATAGTGCATAAAGTCACCAACGCTCTGTTGACTCAATAACTGCAGAGTTCCGGACTTCCTCTGCACAACAGCACAGAATCTCTGCACCAGAAGCTTCATGCAAGCCTCACGTCACCAAGCGCAACGCCAAGCGTTGGATAGAGTGGTGGAAAGCATACTGTCACTGAACTCTGGAGCAGTGGAAACGTGTTCTCACAAGTGATGAATTACGCTTCTCTTTGTGGCAGTCTATTGGACAAGTCTGGGTTTGGCAGATACCAGGAGAACATTACCTGCCTGACTGCATTTTGCCGGCTGCAAAGATTGGTGGAGGCAGGATAATGGCATGGGGTTGTTTTTCAGGGATTGGGCTGGGCCCCTTACTTTCAGTGAAGGGAACTCTTAATGCTTCTGCATACCAAGACATTTTGGGCAATTCTATGCTTCCAACTTTGTGGGAACAGTATGGGGAAGGCCCTTCTCTGTTCCAGCATGACTGCGCCCTAGAGTACAAATCAAGGTCCATAAAGACATAGTTGGGTGAGTCTGGTGTGGAAGAACTTGACTGGCCGGCACAGAGTCCTGACCTCAACCTCATCAAACACCTAGAATGGAGATTGGAGACCTTCACATCCAACATCAGTGGCTGACCTCACAAATGCTCTTCTGGATGAATGGGCAAAAATTCCCACAGACACACTCCAAAATCTTGCGGAGAGCCTTCCCAGAAGAGTGGCAGCTGCTATAGCTGCAAACGGGGAACCAACTCCATATTGATGCCTATGAATTTAGAACAGGATGTCATAAAAGTTCCTGTAGGTGTAATGCTCAGGTATCCCAATACCATATATCGTCCATATAGTGTGTATTCAGTGATGATCTATCGTGTTCCTAACCCTTACATAGCATCCACGTTCCTCTGCTCTCTTTCATTTTGCTCTTTTCCTGTCTCTGTCCCTGTCCCCGTTCCTCTCCCTTTGTTTTTCCAGTGCAGTTTAATGTGCGGGTCCACCATGATCCGGACACTTCTGTCCTCATCCATCCTTTGGACCAATCGGAGGCCAAGAATGCACGGAAGCAGGGACCCCGGCAATTGCCACAGACCCACAAGCCCCGGGGCCGCTGTTTCCAGGAGACCACGCCCAAGCAGGCTGTGAGTACAGTGAGTGAGTCAATGTGACTTTTTAAGCAATTTTTTTTTTGACGGTATGTGTTCTGGTTTGTAGCGTCGCAGGATCTGCATCCAGTTTTGTTTTACTGCTTGATTCCGAAGCTATTACGCAATCTAGCTCTGGTTTTCTGGATTTCACAACCTTTGTTTTCCAGTACAGGCAGAATGTTGTTTTTAATATTCACAAAAATACTTTGTAACATATGAGATACTTAACTTCCACAAAGGGTATTAATGTATTTTACAGCATAATGTAGTTAATGTTTTCTGTCAAAAGACATATCAAAGGCTGCATCTGCAACTTTATTGAAGTTGTATGTTATACCAAAAGAGCTGTTGTATTCTGAATATATATTCTTTAAAGATTTTCAAGTAAAAATATGACTATATTTTTGTTAAAGGTCCCAAAATTGGTGATCGCTTCATGCAAAATTAACAGCACAAAACACAGGAAAAGAATAGTTTTTGCTCTCGTTAATGAGGCTGATACTCAGTTTCTATTTCGGTTGTGATGCAAAAATAAAAGTGCACTGTTGCCTTACGCCTCCAGGGTGAGGGTTTGTATCCTGCCCTGCCCTGCCCTGCGTCTGTGGAGTACTTATGCTCCCCCAGTGTCACGTGGGGTTTCTTCTGCCATTTTGGTCTCCTCCTGCAGTCCAGAAACATGCGGTTAGGGGAACTGATGTCTCGAAATTGCCTGTAGTGTCTGCGTGTAGGTGCGTGTGTGTGCGTGCGCGTGTGTGCGTGCGCGTGTGTGTGTTTCTGCGCCCTGGAATCCATCCTGTCCATGCCTGGGAGCAGCCCCAACTCTCTCCCCCCCCCCCAACTCGTGAACCCCGCCCACGATAGGCGGTTGGAAGATGGATGGATGTAAAATTGCATATGCTTTTAAAGACTGCATTTCCTCTTTTTTTTATTACTCGTATGTTAACAAGCAAAGTACTGTTTTCTCTCAAAATGAAACGAGCTAATTACTGCGTTGCTGGCTTTCCCTGCCTCGTGTGTTTCAGTGCAGCAGTAACCCCCTGCCTGGCCTGACCAATCAGGAGGACTGTTGTGGAAGCGTGGGAAAGTCCTGGGGGCAAAACAAATGCCATAAGTGCCCCAAGCTGCCTTGTGAGTAGCAGCCCTTATTTCCAGGCTTATATTCTCCCCCCCCCCCCCCCCCCAGCCCACCAAATCATGCCCCGGGCTAAACTGTCTGCATGTAAACATAACCCGGTGGGTGAATTCCTAATTGATGTGTTAATCATTAACTTGCCTGTTTTTATACGCAGAGGAAGTATTTTGGCCTTTTCTGGGGTTTTGTTTTTATTGAAAAATGTTTAAATACCTCCCCCCGTGTCTGGGGAATAAGTGGTACGGCCCATATAGGGCATAACTGGCCACCCACCTAAACATAGTCAGAACATAGCCAGATCTGTGCCTGGAACTCATTTACCGGCTTGAAAAGGCACAGTGATACTTACATAATTTATGAGTCGTCAGTGCGTAAAGACATTGGAAAGTCTGCCCCTCCAGATTCCGGGAAGGCGGATAAGTGACGGCCTTCTTGCACTGATGTAGTTTGGCTTTCGCTCCACTCTCCCCAGGGTAGCGCCGGTGCGGCCTGAAAATTGAATTTCTGTGCGGTGTATAATGTTTGCGTTTAGGGAAAAGAAAACGAAATAACCTTTGGATTGAGACCGTGTCCCAGCTGGAAACTTGGCTTCCATCTCTGATAATCCCCCTTCCCATCGTTCTTTGTTCCTACCTTATTTCGAAGTCAGAAAAATGCAGCTGGTTTCACACACGTGCAAATCAGCCGTGCCATTTTATCGAAAATCTCCCGTGGCTTTTATTGATGTTTTTCTTTTTTTTGGGGGGGGGTGGCAGATGGCAAAAAAAGTAAGAATTTTTCAAATTCCCAAGCCGGTTCTGTACGACCCACTGTCTCAGGTCCTCTCCTTCAAACTCCTCCAGACACTGCGGTCCATAAGCTGTCCATCATCGAGGACTATGGCTCCACCTGTCCGTACGGCTACAAGAGACTCAACAGCACACACTGCCATGGTAACTGGGACACGCCAGTTTAGGTTGCGTGAGAAAATCGAATAGTTATGTCTGGTATTTAGTGTATTCGACCATCCCTTCCTCTCTCTCTCTCCTTCTCTCTCTCTCTCTCCCTCTCTCTCTCTCTCTCTCTCTGTCTTTCCTGACATCCTGCAGACATCAACGAGTGCACCATGCAGGGGGTCTGCCCCAACGCCGAGTGCCTGAACACGCAGGGCAGCTTCCTGTGTGCCTGCAAGCCGGGCTACGTCCTGGAGCGCACGCGCTGCATAGGTGAGGACCGGCCGCAGAGGGGTCGCCGTGACGACGCTCCGCTGCCATGTGCACATCTCATTAGTGGCGAGGCGGCTCTGCGTCTGGCCTGCAGTTTGCTGTGTGGCCTTCACTTTCTCTTTTTCCCATGCAAAGTTCATCTATTTTGGCCACATATTGAGATTTAATCACCTCTGCTGTCACATTTATCATTTTCTAAATTTCCTTTCCACACATCCTGCATCCCTGACAAACCCCCCCCCCCCCCCATGTGCAGAGCCCCCTGCTGAGACGGGCCCCTGTTTCCGCATGGTGAACGAGGACGGCCAGTGCCAGCACGCACTGCCCACTATGATTTCCCAGGAGATGTGCTGCTGCACCGTGGGCAAGGCCTGGGGCAGCAGATGCCAGAGGTGCCCACAGGATGGCACAGGTCGGTGGGCAGCCTCACGGGCATCTCCCTGCCCTCGGGGGTGTCATCACACCGCCATCTGCAGCTTTTGATGGAGTTTCTGTGAAATTAGCTCAATAATCAGTTTTTTTGTCTTTATCTGATTATTACAGCCAATAAATAAAGACGTTAAAAATAAGTAAACGTCAGTGAAAATGCGATGAATATGCACTAAAATACCCCCCCCCCCTCTCCCCAGCCCTCTTCAAAAAGATCTGCCCTGCAGGGAAGGGCTACACAGTGCAGAACTACCGGGAGACGGTGTCCTTCCTGCCGCAGCCAATACCCCCCGCCCTGGACCACCCAGGTGGGCGGGGTTCTCTCGGGTCACATGCTCCCTCAGACCAACCCGAACACAGTTGCATTCTGGGATGATTTGAAACAGACCTGGCTGTTCGATTGTTTTCAACTTTGAAAGGCGTTTTTAAAAAAAGTTTATTATAAACTTGCGGATTCATACACATGTACCGAGATTGACCTTTTAATTAATAACCTGTTGAATTTATCATAAAATGCACTATAGACTCCCCAACATACTAATGGCGCTTTTCCACTGCATAGTACGGCACAGCACGGTTCAGTTCAGCTCACTTTTGGGGGGTTTTCCACTGGGAACAGTACCTGGTACCTGGTCCTTTTTTTAGTACCACCTCAGCCGAGGTTCCAAGCGCGCCGAACCGTTACCAAAACGTGACGTGTAAACTCTACTGGTCACTGATTGGCCGGAGAAAATCGTCATTACTGCGTCACTGAACTTGCGACACGAGACACAACAGACCCGCTAGATTTTTAGCACAGCCAGCGAAGGTTCGGACGCACCATTTTGTTTTAACTAAAAATGGTCTTGCTGTTAAAAACATCCACATGCCGAAAATGAAGAACACCATTCCGTCGATATGCTCCATTGTTGTGTGTTTGTTTGTGGCGCATTTACGATGATGTCACGGCAATAGAGGCGGCGCAACTATAACGACACGTGAATAATCCCGCCCACTCTAAAGCGGCACTAAACTGCAGTCGAAATGCAAACCGAGCCGAACTGAGCCAAACCAAGGTGAGCTGTACTGAACCGTGCTGTGCCGTACTATGCAGTGGAAAAGCGCCATAAGGGAGATGAAACCGGTGGCAGTGCAGGTTAAAAGCAAAGACTGTTGACATGTGAGTCTCACCACAGTATTATGTAGTTGAGAAGGGAGGTCAGCGGATTAATGTAAGTTTAGTTCTTTGGCAGAACGAAATGGCGACGACCGTCAGTGAATTTCCACCAGAGGTGTAATGATATCCACCTACAATAAAAAACCTCTTGGTCGCGGTGGGCCCTGTCGTTTAGCGTGCCTGTTTTTCTCACATTTATTCCAGTTGGCGTTTCATGGTGAGGTGATTTGCATTCCGCTGCGTTCCAGCTGCACTCATAGGTCAAAGAATGTCAAAAATAGCATCTAGACCATCCAGCCTCCTACAGTCGTAGACAAAGAATTCCGTCTGGATTGGACCGGGGGATTCTGGCACGGTCCAATCCAGAGCCACGCGGCCGCAGAGTCCACAAAATATTTGACTGCTGCTTAGGAACACTTCTTCTGGTCCTAATCAATCCGTACTTCTCCACGTTTCCTACAGTACTGAGCACTGCGTTGTGAGAATAGTGCAGTGTTGCAAATTAAGTGTGGAAAATGACTTTTTTTTCTTATTCTCTCCCCTGTCTTGCCTCTCTTGCAGAAGTCAAGTTTCCACCAGTAAGTTGGACTGATATTATAGCACATGGTTATCCTGGAAGTGCGATATGGAACGTTCACCTGTCGGAGCTCCAATCACATTATGGTTTCAGCAATAAAGCTTGTACAAGCAGTGATTCCTGCCAGGACCGACATCTCAGCTGGGATAGTTACTTGCAAGAATTAACTTACTTATTTATCAGTAAAGCTGCCGTATGTTATTTACGCTTTAATTTTTATAATCTTTTTAGTACTCGTATTACTAGTAATTAAAAGTAAGTTTTCCAACCTCTTAGTAGTTTTTCTTGTGTTTTGAGTTTTTTTTTTAAGATTTTTTTGTTTTGTTATTTTAGTTATTTAGTTCAGGTTCAGAAAATAAAAATCCAGACCAAGATTTTGTTTCAACCAACTGGTTGAGTATAAAGAGTCACAGTCACAGTCTAGATGTTCTTTCTGTACCTGAACTATCCACCTCTGATGTGGAGTCTGTGTTGGTTTGGTTTGTGGGCCGTGTCACATCATCTTAATAAAGACCTGTGCGCTGATTCTCCACAGCTCCCCCCTGAGGCTGTAGAGATGACCACACCTGTGCAGCCCCTCACAGCCAGCCCCCCGGGACCCCGTATCCCAGGTACAGACCCCCGCGCCCCCCCAGGCATGAACTTCAGGATTCCCATTTGCTGCAAACCTATATCTAATATAAATTTTGTGAGACATCTTGTTCCCAGAAATCTTTGGTGGTTTAGCTCATCTCTCTTTCTGTATTTGCCTGCAGTGTTTATCTCCTCATATATTTTCATTTGGTGTAGTTGGATGCTGAATCATTCACATCCTGCAAAGACACAATACAGACTTGCTCTCAGATTTGTAGGGTGACCAGATAATCCATGTCATTGAGGACACATTGAGCTAGGATAGGATTTGTAAACTACAATTTCAATTAAAAGGACCTGGATTTCACTTAAGCACTGAGATCTTGCCGTGTGCTGATTGGTCAGTCTCCTTTAATCATACATGGGTCACTAATGTTAACGTGAAACAGCTGGATGCATCTTTCAATCAAAGAAAAAAACCAGTCAAAGCACATAAGAACAGAACTATTTAGCGAAGCAGAAGGGCTTTGCCGTTGTAAAGTAGTTTGTAGTGTGTAGACATTTAATTAGTGTGAATTGGACTATGTTTTGGCATCATCAAAAAGGCTTACTTTTGAAATATTTTAATAGTTTTATTAGTGTGGCCTTGCATAGGACAAGCGGGTATAGAAAACGGACAGATGGTTTAAAAAGCCCCATTACCCTGCACTGTGACCTAATAAGGTCGTACACCCCCGACTGTGGTTATCTCGGTGTTGAGATGTTGTTGTGTGTTTGTGGTGCTGCACCAGACCGACATACCAGGGTCTGGGCCCGATCCCCAGTGTGCTGCAAGAAGGGCCAGGGATTGCGAGGTCGGCCCGGTTGGGTGGGTTAGATCACCGCTCTGCACTCATGTCAGCTGCCTGAGTCACATGGAGAAATATGGTAGAGGTCTGTTCCAAGTAGGTGTCTGAGGGGTTTGCTGGTTATCAGCCAGCAGAATACCCATGAGGAAGAGGGTGTTCTGTTTTAGAGGAAATTATGCTTTTTCCTGGCTGTACACTGATCCAGTCTTGCATGCTAGTTCACCGCTGGGAGTAAAGCTGGCTGTCGCTCTTCTTCTGAGCAAAACGTCTCCCATCTCTCTACCCCAACAGTAATCAGGGCCAAACCCACACCCCCTCCCATTGTGGAGGTCCCCCCCGAGAGGGATACCAGCCCCCTGGAGGCCGTGCAGACGCAGCTGCCACGTGAGTGTCACAGACTCTTGGAGGAGGGCGGGCCGGCCACAGCAGGGTCAGGTGACCACACATTGGGTCATGTGACCTGACCTCTCACCTGATCCCATGCTCCACGCAGAGACCGATGAGTGCCGGCAGAATAAAAACATCTGCGGCCAAGGGGAGTGCGTCAACACGCTGGCCGGCTTCAGCTGTCACTGCTACCCCGGCTACCGGCCCCACAGCCAGAGGAAGAACTGCGTGGGTAAGAGTTGGATTGCGGCCGTGGTGTGAGGGACAGGGCAAAAAATAATATTTCATTATAGCTGCCATCTTGGGGGTAATTATGGCCTTTTTAAATTATAATTCAGAAAAGAAAAATATTAATGCATACATGAAAATGGGGTGAAGAAAACCAGTCATTTTACAATAACGCAGTTTTTTTTCACGCCATAATCATACCTGTATTAGGATTTTTTTTCCTTTTCTGACGTGTGAGTAAATCTGTGAGTTTATGCAAGTTGGAGGACATTTGCTTGAAATCAAGCAAGATGAAGCACTTCACTGTAAAATCAGAAAAGACCATAATTATCTCCAAGATGGGAATTGCAATCAAATAAATATTGCTTTTTATTTACAACCATGCTTTTTGCCATTTGCACAAGTAGAGCACTTTGTAATGCTTCTCTTTGCCGATCCCATCTTGCTCTCCATAGCTTGGGGGGGTCACAGCACAGGGTCAGCTAATGTGCAGGGCCCCTGGAGCTGGGGGTCAGGGCCCGCAGACATGTGACTGTTCTGTTGAGGGTGGGGCTCGAATCGGGGATCTTCTGATCACAGACACAGACACATAGCCCTCTGAGCCACTTGCCCCTTCCCATTAATAAGTTGCATTTTATTTATATTGGAAAACTGCTTTTTATTAAACTAAAATTGTGCGTTCGAGAGGAAAAATGTGGTTCTGGTTTTTCACATTTTACGAAAAATCGATTTAAATGAATTAAAATGTTCAGCATGAAGATATTTTAAAATGTGTGTGTTAGAAAGAGAGAGAGAGAGAGAGAGAGAGCTGTGAGACAGCAGGCGGTAGGGTAATGCCTTCCAGCTGGTCCTGCCTTTGTTACCATGAGCGCCAGCCCTGTGCCTACAGGTGAAGCAGATGAAGGAGCCCAGCTGCCTCTTGTTAGCCTCAGTGATCTGTGAGGCTCCTAAAAACAGGTCAGCTGAGTTGATCCTCTGGAGGAGGGCTGCTCTGGCGTCCAGCACTCGCTGATGAAGGCCCTACAGTGGCTCTAGTTATCGTGGAGTTTTATTGCTTAGTTTCTATGTACTTTATTAGGTTTTTACAATTTTTCCTTTTTAAACAGTCATCCCTTTTTGTGTAATAAACTCCGTTTGTGTGTTTGAACCCTACCGTCCTGCACCTCTGAACCTTCCACAATGCTAAAAATTCAGTATCCTGATGGTACACAATTAATACATTGTCGTTGACTAGTACCCATAAGATGCTAACCACAGGCTACATTTACCCTCACTGTTATTGGGTTCTTTAATGAAAGAGTCTTATTTCAGTTACAGCCAGGTGGTTAGCATGTAATAAGGAATGTTGTGGAAAGACCTTACAGTTAAGCTTACAGTTGGTGCAATGATGAGTTAACATTCGTACAAGACTATAATTGTTATGATGCACAGACTCGTTTGGTTTCTCGGTTTTCCCAAAACAAAGCTGTGCCGTTGTGCTGCATGCTCCGTATGGTGTGCTGCTAATGTTATTGGTGGTCCAGCTTTAGCTTGGCCTCCTCTACCCCTGCAGATGAAGATGAATGCGAATCAGGCCCATGTGGTCCAGGAAGGGGGCAGTGCATCAACAACATGGGCTCCTACAGATGCCGCTGTAACAAAGGCTACAAGGTGATGGTCCACCAAGGGAAGATCACTTGTGTTGGTGAGTGACGACCTGGCTGGTAGCTCACCGGGGCTTCCAGCTAGACTGGGGAGACGTGCCAATCCTGCTGGTTCAGTCATTAACTGAAGCATTGAAAAACCAGTACACCCTGTGGCTGTTTTGGACTGGACCTGGCTGTTTCTGCCCGGCCTGAAGATCTTTTAACTTAATATTGTTGTATTTCCCATGGAGGCCCAGTGGGCCTTCAGCCTCTTATGTTATATTTCTGCAGCTGAAGCTCCAGGTGAACTTGGGTGGCATCCAAGATGGCTGAGTTTGAGCAGAAACAAGCCCAGGCCTCAGGGCCTCATTGCATCATGGTTTCTCACCACTGCGCTAGAAATAGTAACATTATTGATCCATTAAACGTGTTCCTTTCAGGAGCTGCTGTAGCTACACACACTACACTGTGTAGCTACAGCGTGACTAATGTTTGTCTGCATTAGGGTTTTACAGGACTGCCTATTCACAAATAACATGCTATTTATTTGATATTATTTGGTCATTTTTATTATTTATGATGTTATTGTACCATAGTAATGCCATTTAATAAAGCTTATAATGATGGATTGATGGATCATAGATTGTGACATGACCATATGAGGTTGTTCTTGGTTGATACTTTTAGTGTTTCTCGACCCAGTCCTTGGGGACCCCAGATAGTCCAACTTGTGACTCCCTCGCACCTTCCAACACACTTATACCAAGTATTTGGGCCAAAGTGTGGACTGTCTGGGGATCTCTGAGGACTGGGTTAAGAACCACTGGTCTACAGCACAGATGACAGTTCAGAGAGCGACGTCAGGTTAATGTGTGATTCAGCAAGACAAGGTATGGCGGAAGTAAAACTGCTCTGGATGCTTAGCTCAGTGTTTCCCAACCCAGTCCTCGGGGAACCCCGGTCAGTCTACGTTTGTGCATCCTCTCAGCTCCCAGCGCACCTGTACCAGGCATTCGGTGTTCCTGATTGGCTGGGAGCTGGGAGGGAGCAAAAACGTGGACTGTCCGGGCTTTCCTGAGGACTGGGTTGGGAAACACTGGCTTAGCTGTCCCTGGCTAAAGGCTTCCATTGGTCTTCGAGGTGCATGGATTGCTACAATGGGTCATATCTCTTCTTCAGTCAGCCTCTGGCTCTGTAGCATCTCTAGATGGGCTGAGATACCAGAGCGTGGAGTAGGGCTGCATGATATCACATTGTGATTATATGTACAATAATCACCGGGCTTTAGACGGTTGAAACATTGGTCCGGATGCCAGCTTTTCGGTACTATACGTTCGTTCACTTACACCGACAATTTGGTAAACAGATTAGTACTGTAGGGTGCCTAAAATATGGGAGGTGTATTGTGATGCCAGAAAGTTAGTAATCTGTATGATTTTGGTGCATCCTTATGTTTAATAAAAATGACAGACTGAAAATTGCAAAAAGTACCACGCAGAAGTCTTTTTACCTTGTTTATACACAATATCTCCTCCTTTAAAGGATGTCGTGGTTGCTGATCTGTCCCTTTCTTCACCCCCACTTCAGTGCTTATCGCCTCCATGATTTACTAGAACGGTAACGTGTGGTGTGCTCCGCTAACTGAATTTAATAAGGATACACTGAATTTATGTAGATTACTAACTTTTGGGCATCACTAAACACATCTCATTTTAGGTGTTTTACTAATCTGCTTTCCAAGTTGTGGGCGTAAGTATACATCCGTTTAGTACCGAAAAGCCGGTGTCCAGACAAATGTTTTGTCCCCCATCTAAATTCCTGGTAATTACTGCGTATGAGCCGTATAATCGCGATTGCATTCCAATGTGATATCGTGCTGGCATAGCGTGGAAGCACAAGGACTCTGAAATATCCGTGCGACATCAATGAGACAGATAATGACTATTGTCGGCACAGAAAAACCCTGTATTACTAATGATTGTGGGTTTTAATGAAACCCAAGTATAAATGAAACCATAACATATCAGGGTTTCGATTTTATTGCTGAAACTGCCAACGTTCAGCTGCGTTATTCATTCTTACGGTAATATTAACAGACAGATAATTTTTTGTTTTGTTTGGCTTCGTGGTTTTTGTGGTGAATGTGAATACAATTACAAGAAAAGTAACTGGTTTCTAGCATAACATGTTTTAAGTCAGAATAAGCAATGCAGTGCAAGTAAAATACCCTTTTGGTTTTCAAAGACTTTTGCTTTTCAAAGACCACAGAGGAGTAGCTTTGTGTTCTGAAGCTATTGTAACCCGGATAGTAGTTTGTGACTCATTACCCTTGTGACTCCCGGAATGACCCGGCTGTGTGTCTGTCAGATATCAACGAGTGCGACAATCCCCAGATGTGCCGAGAGGGCGGGCACTGCATCAACCTGCCAGGGTCCTACAAATGCCAGTGCCTGGAAGGGTACGCCAACAAGTCCCCGCAGCAGCCGGCCTGTGAAGGTAAAGATGCGGGTCACGCTGAGCAGAACCCGGGGCTGGGAGAGAGAGTTAGGGACGTCACCTGAGGTTTTGGGGATTGGGCGACAGAACTGGGAACTGCGTACCTTAATTAAGTGTCACATAGGAACTGCAATGAAGTTCCACTGCGTTGGTATCAGCACAAGGAAAAATAAAGGTATTGGGGGAGATTCCAGACATGTGGAATTGAGACTCCAGAGTGTGCAAGACAATATAAAGTTTTATATGAAGCAGTGCTTCTCAACCCAGTCTTCTGGGACCCCCAGACAGCCCACAATTTTGCTCCTTCCCAGCTCAATCAATCATTCAAGCAAACAGGAACGCTGTATTACTGAGTCCGTATGTCTTAATCTACTCTGTCTGACTTTGTTTTTCACAATTTGTACTATTATCATAATTATTTCCCTCAGCCTTCACTGCGGTCTCTCTGGGGCCGAGTGCGTCGGTGGTTTATTCTGTTGACGGATTTTTATTTCTCTCACTTTTTTTTTGGGTGCGATCTCAGGTGGGGGAGTGTTTATGTTCTGTGTTAAATGCTTGTTCATGTTCTCCTTACCTTCTCCTTCAATAAAAAATTTGATCACAAGAAAAAGTACAGGTGTGTGGGAAGCTGGGAGGGAGTATAGATGTGCACTGCTGGGCGTCCAGCTCCGGACGCATGTCAATTTTGCTCTTCCCTAACACGGTCTAATTGCAGACATTGACGAGTGCCTGAACCCCAACACGTGCCCCGAGGAGCAGTGCGAGAACACGCCTGGCTCGTACGAGTGCATGCCCTGCCTGCCGGGACACCAGGCTCGAGAGGGCATCTGCTTCGGTGGGTCCGGCGCTCCTACTGACCCCAGTACAGTCAATCAGAACCAGAACACTTAGTTATCCTGGAGGAAAATATTTGTGATTGCAGACTGCACAGTACTGGACTGCACAAAAACACAAAAACAGGCATTACGCAGTACAGCACACACAATACAACAATTTCTAAAAAATAGGTTGTGTTGCACATGTGATCGGAGTGATTTACTAGTTGAACAGTCTGATGGCTGTTGGAAGGACTGATTGTTAGCTGTAGCTATAGTCTTGTCTGAATTAAGTGACATTTGGTTAATTGATGCCAGGCATCCTACCAGTGTAGATATATTGTGTTCCCATTAGAAATGAACAGTATCATCTCTCCTCTTCCACATCAGCTCCTAGCTGGCAGCTGTGATGGGCAAGGAAACAGATCTTTCAGGTTCATCGCATTTGTTTCCTTCCTCCATTCCAGCTCCTTGGCAGCCAGCCTCGATTCTAACTCCTGTCACTCTCAGTTCTAATACTTACTCTGAATTACCCAGTGCAGTGATTCCCAGTCCGGTCCTTGGGGACCTATAGCCGGTCCATGTTTTCCCTCCCTCCCAAACCTCAGTAGAAACATGGACTGTCTGGCAGGGAGCTGGGAGGGAGCAAAAACATGGACTGTCAGGCAGGGAGCTGGGAGGGAGCAAAACCATGGACTGTCAGGGGTTCCCCAAGGACCAGATTGGGAAATGGTGACTTAGAGGACCATACTGAAGAAGTTCCCTTGCACACCTGTCCCCGCCATACTTAACAAAGGTCGATAAAGACCCATCTTGTGTCCCGTTATGTCCTTCCTCTCTTTTTTTTTCTTTTCTTTTTCTAGTCCACTAAGCATTTTCATATAAAATAAAAAAACCAGGTGCAGCATGTTTGCTTTGAAATTGTTTTGGTAACATGTTGATCATTTAAAATCTCCAAGAAAGACTGTTATGTCGCTAATGTCTGTCTCCTTCCAGTGTCCTTCCATTGCTTTCTTCTTCTGCTCCATTCTGCATCCCTATCCGTCACACCTATGTGTTCACTAAATCCATCATGTTTACCGTCTCCGTCTGTCCCCAGTTTAAATCCAGCCTGTTTTTATCTGAGTCATCTGTTCCTTTCAGACTGTAAACACATGGCCGTCTTCTATATCTGTATCTTGTGTATCAGCTGTGGAATCATGATGGCATCTGATACTCAACATCTGATTTATATTTTACGACTTGAATGGTGCTGTTAGCGTGCATAAATTTGTACCTACACTCACCCCAAGCCCCTATACGGTTAAAGTAAAACACGATTGTGCAGTACAGTAATGCAGGTCTGTTTTTCTTTGTTACAAGAAAACATGGAAATATGAACTCATTTTTATCTGAATCAGTTAAACAGTCCGGGTGGGTCGGTCATCTTAGTACACGGTCAGAAGTTTGGAATTGCAATTTGATCTGGTAGATACAGGAAAAAAACTGCATTCCTGTTTTAACTCAGGGCCCTTGTACAGTACACAGAACTCACTGCCTTGCTAATACCATGTGTGGGAGAATTGAGGTCATTTTATATTTGAATCAGAGGTGGCTTTGTTCCTTTGAATTCACATCCCCAGAGTAGATCTGCATGCTCCGCCAGATTGCCGGAAATCAGCCTCTCAAATTTTAATCATACTCCGGATTGTTTTGATGCACATTTTGAAGATCTGCTCGTGTCAGCAATGAAGGGGTGTGTCAACACCAGGGTTGGGGCCATTCTGGAATGCATTGATCAATTCCAGTCCAAATCAGGAAATGGAACTGGAGCTAGGATTGGGGAAAAAAACTATGGGGAACAGAATTGGAGTTGAATTTGAATTTCAGGGAGATTTAAGTTCCAACTCCAGTTCCATTTCCTGATTTGGACTGGAATTGATCAATGCATTCTGGAATGGCCCCAACCCTGGTCAACACTGTGGATTCCTGTTCCCATTGGCTATCTGGTTCAAAGAGTTTCCTGGCCTGGTTCTAAAGAGCCCTGATCCAGTTAGTTTTTCCTGCTTTTATATGCAGATTGTCTCTTTCTGCAAGCTGACAAACAGCCACTGAAATCTGTCAGCAGATGATGAGAAAGACAGCGGAAGGGTAATAAAAAAAATCTCAAGTTAGACATTTACATATTTTACCAATCGGAACAAACTGATTCCTGAAGGGTAAATTTAATAGGAAATCGGTCATTTAGGGTAGCATCAAATTAAGTAGGTGGGGGACCATTGAGTACCAGGATTTGAGACACGGATAGCAATATACCCTGAAGGCTCACAACAGTCTGTTTTGACCCTCCAAAGATCTTGCGCGAAATCCCCATTTCTGCATGTGTGGTCCGTGTTATTTCAGCTTGATTTAATCCTCTTCACACCCATGGATACATGTAATTTCTGGAATCTCTGCTTGGAGTTGATTGTGGTGTTTGTGACACCCGCAGATGTCGATGAGTGCCAGAAGCGGGGCATTTGCCCCCACGGGCGGTGTGAGAACCTGCAGGGCACGTACCGTTGCCTGTGCAATGAAGGCTTCGTCCCTGAGACCGACAGCAAGGGCTGCAGGGGTACGTCACCTGATTTCCAGCTGATGATGTGCCATCTTTGTTCTTTAAAACATTAAAGCCTTAATACATGCAGCTCCCCTATATAGCTTTGACTACTATTGGTTAAAGATTCGTTCATTACTGCTCCACCTCGTAGCCACGACACCCATCCAACCACACAGGTTTTCCTGCTTGTAGCCCTGCTCTGATGGTGTCCTGCATGCTCACGACCAGGCCTCTCTGCTCCACAGACATCGACGAGTGTGAGGACAACAGGCTGTGTGCTAACGGACACTGTGTGAACACCGAGGGCTCCTTCCTGTGCCATTGTTACCCGGGGTACCAGCCAACTCAGGAGGGCAGCCATTGTGAAGGTCTCCCAAGCTAGGCTGCTGCCATCAACACGGGGGGGGGGCAAACAGTTTTCCCAGATTCCATTCCAGTTAGCATCGGTGTTGGAAATTAGCATTTAATGCCGCTTCGAAACTTGGTGCTGCTTTTAATAGCGTGGAGGTTCATTTATACCAGGGGTATCGGCAAAGGGCCGCTGTGTATGCGGGTTTTCGCTGCAACTCCCTAATTAGATTACTAATTAGAGGACTGATTGGCTGAAGAGTCCTCACACCTGGGTTTGAACAGCTAACCTACAGGTTATCCCAAAAATCTGCATATACACCGGCCCTTTGCGGATGAGATTGCCCGCCCCTGATTTATACATTAAACTGTGCATAAACTCTGCTAAACATTTGGGAAAGCATGAAGGAGTATTCCTTCCAGTTTTTGATCCTATTATGTATTCTTACAAATCTTTATTTAATCAGCACTTTTATCCAAAGCAATATGCAGTTGAGAAAGTGGGGACAGTTAGCCCCTGGAGCGATTGGCATTAAGGGCCCAATGTTGAAATCTGTCTTGAACTTCTGACCTCCTGATCAAAGACACAGAGTGCTGAGCCACATACTGCCCCCTTGTGAAACACTTTTCTAAACTTATAAGTAGGAACACTTCGATCCCACTTTATCTGTCCCAATACCGATACCTGGGCTTTGGGTATTGGCCGATACTGAGTACCAATCCGATACCATTGTTTAAATAATAACCTGTAGGTTTTTGCCTCACTGTGTGGAAGAGACTGTGATTATTCTTTTACATGTAAGGCAATATCAGGCTTAACTTATACCTTATATATATGCATGTGTTACATTTATCATGTGTGATGTAAAGGCTGATTTATACTGCTGGGTCGAATCAACACCGTAAGTACGATGTAGCTGCGGACCCTACGCCATAGCCTGACATGCACCTCCCCAGAAAAGTAGCTACACATCACGGCAATGCAGACCACAAGAACTGTGATTGGTCCGCTTAGTAGGGTTTTTTTTTTTTTATAGCGTGACGAAAGCATAGACCCAGGTGTACTTACATAACTTATTTAATTACTTAATGTTAGATATAAATAATGCTTCAGATGCGTCCCTTATCTTAATATTTGTGCAAATTGCCGACATCCTCCACGTATACTCATCAGTTAGCCAATGCCGGTGTTCTCTGCATTTATCCTTCTGGTTGACAACCCTATCACTAGGTGCCAAAATCTGGTCAGGTAGCAAAAATGCAGAGTTTTAATGTAATGTTGCAATTGAGGTATCGGTTCTTGGTATCCGACAATTTTTGCGAGTATGATTATATGAACACAGTATCGGCCCGATATCGGTATCGATGCATCCCTACTTATTAGCGGGTCTTATTAGCGGGTTCCGTTGACCACGGAAATGAAATGTGAGCCTCAAAGTCATAGTTTAGCGTGTGCTAGCATGTGGATGTTTTTTCTCTAGATACAAATGAATGTGAAAGGCATAACTTCTGCCTGAGAGGAGACTGCATCAACACCATGGGCTCTTACCGCTGCGAGTGTCCCAAGGGCTTCCAGCTGATCAACAGCAGGCGCTGCCAAGGTAAACTTCCTTCTCTTCAGTACCTCCGGCAGGAAGTACTGGTCATGTTATTCTTAATGGAATGTTTCTGCCTCTCTGTTCTCTGTTTACTTATTCTTCATTGCATGTCAATGCCCTCACAGCCATAGCCATCGTGGTTAACTCAGTAACTAGCAAGCTTAAAGGGTGGACTAGTGCAGTGATGTGTCACTTTCCCAAAATGGCAGTTTATATATGCAGTCAGTCTTGCTTCATGTTCCTGAAATGGTTTTGGAGTGATATTCCCTTTTTCCCATTCGATATATGTATTTTAATACACAGTGTTAGTGAATTCCACATGGAAGAGGCGACTATGTATTCCCTGTAACCTGACTGGCAAATCTTCATGGTCTGAGTGTCCAGTTTTTAATTTCTTCAAGGTTATAAAAGTACATATTGCGTACCTTAATATTTCACAAAGATGTATTTAACCAGTAAGGGTCAGAGGGTTTGTTTCTGTCGGCGTCCTCCAAAAAACAACATGCATTGGGGCCCGTTCAAAGGAGCATACGCTGCTGTAGGTCACCATCTGAAGGTCTTCCAGCCACCGGTACAGAGCGTACAGTCGCTGTGTGCTTGATGCTTAACCAGTTTGCATTTCTCCTCCGACAGACATCGACGAGTGTGCGGAGGACAGAGGCTTGTGCCAGCCGCACGGCATGTGCGACAACAGGCAGGGCACGTACATCTGCGTGTGCAACGAGGGCTACGTCAGCTCCGAAGACGGACACAGCTGCGAGAGTATGTGGCACCGCTCTGCTGTCATCTGCTGTCATCTGCCGGCTCGGTTCTAGTGGCCGTTTTCTTCCTTGTTGTTCTGCGGATTGGTTTCTTGTTCTCAGATACTTCTATGTTCTTACTGTACGTTCTGCATTCTGCATTCTGTGTTCCTGTTCTTCATCCCCAGAGTTCTCTGTCAACAGTACTCTTTTCTTCATCTGAGCCATCAGGTACTTCTGAAAAGAATATTTAGTGTTTTTTTTTCGTGCCCGAATCTAGAAGAATGTTAGTATTTAGTGCTTCTGTGTTGTTATCCCTGCCCGCCCTTTGTGCTGCAGAGATTGCGGTTGATGTCGAAGAAAAGAAAGAGTGCTACCTGGACCTGGATGACACAGTCTTCTGCGATAGTGTCTTGGCGGCCAACGTCACCAAGCAAGAGTGCTGCTGCTCTATCGGCATGGGCTGGGGTGACCAGTGTGAGATCTACCCCTGTCCTGTTCATAAATCCGGTACCACCACTCATACCTGTCTAGCCCGGCCCTGCGCATCACCACATGGTCCCAAACCCAGGGCGGTTGCTGGTCCTGCTACGGCTGTCATGGGTTACATAGCGTGCAGCTCACCATACAGACCCAGGTTTACATGGGCTCCCAAAAGTGCATAGCACCCTCAAATTAGTGATGTGCACCCTTGGGTTCTGGACCCTGCTCTGCACCTATGCCTGTCCCAGTTGGGACCCCTTCTTTGCTCCCCCAGACTCTCCCGTGTGATGTAACCTTGAAACTCTATTACAGTAATTGATAGTGACCCAAACGTAAATGCATCAAAAGACAGAATGGTCTTTTAAAGAGTTCCGTGTTGCTGCTTCACTTTGGCATCTGATCTGCTTCTTTCTCTGCTTTTCCCCTGTGTTTTTGTGTAGCGGAGTTCATTTCTCTGTGTCCTTTTGGAGAAGGCTTCTACCACGAGAACAGCATGACGTACGGCTTGCCCGGCCATCGAGGTATGACCTGAAAGAGTGGATCTTCCCAAAACACTGTAAATTAATGATCATGACATTGAGGATGGTTCCGTTGATGGTAGTGCCTATATCGGCACACCCGTGAGGTGCCTCTGTGTTCCTGGTTGTCAGAACTGAGCTTGTCATTTACATCTCCGCAAGAGGACAGTCAAATCTGACCAAGAATTTAGAGTTCTGCCAAGAAAATGCTTCATAAATTTCATTCTCTTTGCATTTGTATGGCGTTGCCTCATAGAGATATGATCCTTGAGATTAAGAAGGATCAGGGCTAACCTCAGATACCAAATAGTAATAGGATCCAGATCAGGTAATGGCTGTAACCCTATTGAAATATGCCTTCGTGATCTGATGTCCATTCCACACACTCATGTTTCCTTCCCCAGATATTGACGAGTGTGTCCTCTTTGCCAATGAGATCTGTAAAGAGGGCCGATGCATGAACACCCAGCCTGGATACGAGTGCTACTGTCAGCAAGGTTTCTACTACGACAGCAACCTGCTGGAGTGCATCGGTAAATCGTGAAACAACGGTTTGCACTTACATTCATTAGCAACGTGCTATATTCATCACAATGTACCAATGTGATGTTAAAATCGGAATGTCTCTTTTGTCCATTCTGGATATTAAGTATATCATTACTTAACTAAGTCAACCACATATATGTAATGATTGTAACATTATGGTTACAACTCAAGGTCTGTGCCATTAAAGAACCTCTTACCACAGCACCAAAGATCACACATTTAAAGACCAGCATCAGGATCAGAATACGTTTATTATTTTAAAGGACAAAGGTCTGGATCCAGGTAGTCATTTGGGTCACTCGATTTAGGTTCAAAACACTCCAGTATTTTCCAATGAGATATAGTTGCCAAACACAATGTTTTGTGTTTATAATTTCATGTAACTGTTAGTAAGTGATTTGAGTTAGACTATTAGATGACTGAAATGTCAAGTCGTCAGATTTTTGCGTCTGCATTTTTCATCTGGTCCCTGCTCCCCTCCCCCAGATGTGGATGAATGCCACGACAAGTCTCACTGCACCAACGGACGGTGTATGAACACCCCGGGCTCCTTCTACTGTATCTGTAACCCTCCCAACATACCCGATGCCTCCAACAAGAAGTGTGTAGTCCCTGTTTTCACAGGTCAGCTTCTCTGGGGACTTTCTGAGCACCTGGCAACCTCAGAACTGTTAGAGAGACTTTCCCTCTGCCGCCCATTGTCTTCACTCTCTGTAGCACTGTTTTCATTGGCCAATTGTATTCCCCCTTGACCAGCAATCCTAGCAGTGTGTCTCTTGATGGCTGTCACCTGTACCCTGAATTACAGTAAACCTGTGTTTTAGTTTATGATTTAACCAATGAAGAAAAAAGGCCCTACTTTCTACACCGATGGAAGAAAAAAACCTTCTGTTGTCATTACATGCTGTTAAAATCACCAGCTCATCAGTAATTCTTGGAAACATTAGAAAAGAATGTACTCCTACACATATTACTGCTTTAGGTTCTGAGAAACCTATTTTGCCTAGGTATATACGCTCAATATCTCTATCTCCAATGGCTTTCTGATCAGCACTACCTCTCGTGGGCAATGTTGCATGATCCTGAAGTGCTTAAAGGAATCAGCTGGCACAGCTTGGTATGGGGCCTCTCGGAGGACCTGCTTGGGTTGCTGTTGGCTTTTGGGTCCCATACTAGACACTAACTGCTCAAGGACATTTTTTCTGCAAAGAGTTTTCTGCTTTGAATTTCTTGCTTAATAGTTTATGATGAGAGTCTCTCTGATGGGAATTTTGTCTGTGTGGTGAGTGAAATTACTATTTAAAAGTCAACTTGATGAGTTCCTTCTAGTAAATGTAAAACAGGCATGCAGTTTGATTCAGGGTGGATATTAACATACAGATGCTGCAAGACCACTTATTCGGCTATGGATCCATGTCTTGAAAGTCATACCTCTATAGGGTTGACCCTCTTGAACCGTACAATGTCCAGTCTAGAATGGCGCCTTACAACAACCAGCCATGAGGAGCTTACTAACAGGGTGTGTGGTGGCTTAGGTGTGGATGAGTGCCAGGATCCGGCCAACTGCAGAAACGGGCGCTGTGTGAACACGTTGGCGTCCTACTACTGCATCTGTACTCCACCCTGGACCCTGGCCACCAACCGCAACAGCTGCATCCCCCCGGAGGAGCAAGGGGGTAAGTCCAAAATTCAGGCAGGTGGGGAGGTCGTTGAACTCTCTGGATCAATTGTGTGGGCAACCGCTTTGGGTCAGTGTGAGAACTCCCTTGTGCTATGGGTGTTGTCATTGCTGTGGATCTGACAAGCATGAGTACAGTAGAAAATTACATGGTTTGAATCAGCCCTTTGATAAGTTTTGAACACATTTTTCCTGATTGATCTCTTTAAACTGTCCGGCATTAACTGATGGAAAATAGATTTTGGCTCAAGGTGATCACCTTCTTTTGTCTAAAAGGCTGCATCTTCAGATACCTGATGAAATTCCCGTCTTAGAAAGCGTTTACACTTGTCCTTGATTTGCAGTTACATATGCAGGCCAGCAGTAGATAACGTGAGCCTAATGATCTCATTGGAAGTCTGGTGAAAGAAAGATGGGGAACAGCCTTACAGACCCAATCTTGGACAGTGTTCTCCAGCACATATGGCAGCAGAATGTAATGACTTTTGCCATTGTATTATTGTCCATAACATCCAGTCAGGATTTGTCTTGGTACTTGGTTATGGAAATTTGCAAGGAAAGGGACAGTTGTAAACCTTTGACTTGAGTATTAAAACATTAGGAAGGACACTAAGCTCCGTTGTCGGTGACTGACAGTGACTGACGGTGATCGTGCAAAGTGGCTGCAGGTTTGAGAATCATGAGCATTCCTTGGACTGCATTAGGAAATTTGGATACGTCATGCAGAATTTAATCGCTGGCCCATCTGCCCCTCCCATCAATCTCCTGGACGTTGGCTTCAACATGCATCAAGCTAGTTGGGTTGATAGCGAAGTGCAAACATGGTAGTACTCTGCCAGTGACTAGTCTTCGGTCACTTCCCAGCCTTGTCGTCCCATAATATAGCTACACCTTTTAGTGAGGCTTGGATTTGGTCAGGGGGCTTTGTTGACTATCATCTATTTTGTAACCCGTTTCTGTGGTGATCCTTGCAGATGTGAATGAATGCCAGGACCCATCGTACTGTAAGAATGGAGTGTGTCTCAACACGCCTGGCTCCTTTCACTGTATTTGCACGCAGCCCCTCACCTTCAGTGCGGCGCTCAGACAGTGCGTCTATGACGGTGGGTATGACCAATCGCTGCTCAGCGTCTCTCGGTCTTAGAATTCAAGTAGTAACTGCATGCGATCCATCCGCCTGGACGTGACAAAGCCCCTCCCACCTCTGTCGCGGTTTCTGGATTTGGAATGTAACGACCGCTAACGGGTTTCCCCCGGCTTTTTGGCTCTGGCAGCGGTATAACTCGAGAGGCTCGGCAGGACTTTACTGGCAGGTCATCGGATTGCTAATGATAATCTAGAAATGGACTGGAGTGGAGTGAGGCTGTTTTTAGGGTCTTCCCAGGGGTGAGGGGTGGGAGGTGGGGGGTGGGTACAGGAGGCCGTTGACTTTATGCGGGACTGTGACGCGTTAGTCTGAGTGGCCTGCAGAGCAACAGGAAGTAGCAGATTCCTTGCTGCCGTCCCTCAATGGGTGTGTGCATGCGTGCGAGTGTGTGCATGTGAGTCTTTGGCCAGATTGTCAGCAAGTTTTTTTTCCTATTGTGTTAAGCTGTTTTCTCCTTGCCTTTTACTCAAAAGGGAGGGAAAAATACAGCACTGTGCAAAAGTTTTAGGCAGTTAAAAAAAAATGGTGATTTCTATGTTTGTGTAGAATTGACACTCTCTGTCAAAGCCAATTCAAAGCCTCCTCAAAGTCACCCCAGTATCTGCAGCAGCCATTGAACCCTACATGTACGTCTTGACCACTAGAGCTCCTCGTATGTTCATCTAGCCACCCAGCAAAATATCAGAAACATTTTGGAGAACAGAAAGAAATTCTTGATGTTATTGTATTACTATTAGTTTGCATACATTATAATGTTAAATTATATATATTTTTCTTCGAAAATGTACACTCACTACCAAAATAAATAGCTTTAAACATTTTCAAGACTTTTGCACAGTACTGTATATTTCTTATCTCATTTTTTAACCGATTGTAAATGTTCAAAAAAAGTGTTAATGCTTCTCCGTGTTAGTCAGGTTCACTAGCCAAGAAAGACGGGTCACATATTTAATGTGATGCGTTCAGTTTTTAAAAGCCCCCCTGTTTGTATTTTTAGGTCAGGATGGAAATGTACATGAGCTGTTTTTACCTACATATCCCCCCATTATTGCTGATAGACATATGCTGTGTTTAAGACCAGAGAATCCACAAAAGGCAACCTATGACCTAAATTGGGGTTAAACAGCTTTTTACAGGTAGTGAAACCAAGGGCTGTCTTCAATGGCCTATTTATATAGAGATTTTAGTGATGCTATATATACATACATACAAGTATTTGTATGTTATTGGGTAATTCAGGTCGAGAGAGTAAAAGTCCACACCGGGATTTTGTTTCAACCAACCAGTTGAATACTCTGTGACCGTGGCTCTCTATGCTCAACTGGTTGGTTGAAAGAAAATCCCGGTGTGGACTTTTATTCTCTTGACCTGAATTACCCAACTCTGTACTAGTGTACCGAACAATTTTCAACTGATCCATCAACAGCACTGTTTTATTTAAGCTTTTATGTTTCTATTGTTTTTATAGAGCTAAAGAAAGATTAAATGAATATAACAGTACAGATTAACACCTAGTTTGTTAGGGTAAGAGGGAATAGTTGAAGAAAAGTCATGAGATAAAAGAATCTTAGACACAGACAGTTTATGGTTTTGGTGTGTGCTGTCAGTTTCCAGCTGGTTTAAACCATTTCCCATTGGTTAATGTTGGATTTCATTATGATAAGCCAGCCAATGACGGTACACAGCAGTCCCGCCCTCTGCTTTGAGGCCTGTTCTAACACTTCTATTAAAGTAACAGTATAATGTCTGTCAAGGGTTAATGTCGTCCATCCATCCTCCAGCTGTTTATCCTGATCAGGGTCACATGGAGCCTGGAGCCTATGGCAGGTAGCATAGGGCACGCGGCTGGGGTACACCCAGGATAGAATGTCATTCAAACTCCACACACACACGCAATATGGGTGGAATTTGAACTGGGATAACAATGTTACCCACTGAGCTGTCATGCTCACCTAATGCAGTCCATGGCTATGACCGAATTCAGGGGCTGCATCCTTCGAAGGATGCGGTCTATGTAGCCTTTGTAGGTTGTGTCCTTTGAAGGATATGGTCTATGTAGCCTTTGTAGGCTGTGTGTCCTTTGAAGGATGTATTCTATGTAGCCTTTGTAGGCTGTGTGTCCTTTGAAGGATGCGGTCTACGTAGCCTTTGTAGGCTGTGTGTCCTTTGAAGGTCCACACAATGAATAGCTTGGGCTGTGAAGGATCCAGCAGGTGGAAGTACGCATTTCTAGGCTGCATTTGAAGGAGCCTTCGAACTGGGACAGCCTTGTCACACCACTGTGACACTTTAGGTCTTCAAATCCCACCTTAGAAGAATGTAGCCCCTGAATTTGGACACGGCCCATAAATGCATTCATCACCCTGTGCTCAGATCTGTACCGTCGGCTTTTCTGAAGTCTCCCATTCAATTACTAACTGGGCCCTTTACTTCTGTTATCTGGTAGGAGGTGGTCTGATTACTGGGAAATTGCCTTCAGCACTTGAGTTAATTGTAATTGTTTTGTGTCCAACCGTGCACGTGGAATTTAAATAGCCAGACCAGGTGGTTAATTTTGAAAGGCGTTTTATTAAGTTGTTTCTTTTCGGAGTGGCAGCCAGTAGATAAGGGTCAGGGTGTCAAACAGCGCCCCCTTGTGGTAGTGCTTTCTGGGCCGGCATATGTTTATAGAGCCTGAGGCCAACTGATTTCTCTCTCTCTCTCTCTCTCTCTGTCTCTCTCTCCCCCAGACCGCACTGCCGCCCACAAGGACGTGTGTTTCCTTCAGGTGGACGAGGACTTCATCTGCAGCATGCCGCAGAACGGGCTCATGGTGACCTACTCAGAGTGCTGTTGCCACTACGGCCGCGGCTGGGGCCCCGAATGCCGGATCTGCCCCCAGAGGAATTCAGGTCCCCATCACATTTGTAACATTCTTACCTCATTCCTCCCCCCAATAACACTCCTGCACCAAATCATGTTTCCTGCGTACCTGCTTCATGTCTACCTGCCCGTAGACAGACATGCACTTAACGGATGGCAGTAAAGGTAGTTACATTGTGTTGGTACAGGCAATCCCCAGGTTACTAACAAGTTTCATTTCCTAACGCTGTCTTTGAAGTCGAATTTGTAGGTAAGTTGGAAAAAATAAAAATAAGGCACATAATTTTCAGTAATAATAAAATTAACGACATGCGGTGTGGTGCCGCACTGTACAGTGAGCTCAAGAACCGTTGAAGTCACGCAATTTTTTTTCATGATCATCACAAAGCAGTGAGTACGTTTATTATTACCAACTATTGCATTTAACGCAAAATTTAAATATAATAAGCTTTATGCCAATCCAACCGTAAGTACGAGTCCTGCATGTCAGACGTTCTACTGCCTGTACCTACCTTCCTGATTTTATTACTGCCTTCTGTCACTGCTCATCTGTCGAGGAGCTCCTGCATTCACTTGGCGTGTCCCTTAAATCCAAGGTGGGACTTAGGTACAGGCTAACCTGGGCCGTAACCCAGGGCCCCAAATTGTAGGGGACCCCAATTTTTTTTTCTGGTTACAGCAGAGGTTGTTAGGGACAGTCAGGTTGGACCCCAACAATGACTTTAGCCCAAGAGCCCCCACACTCGTAAATTCAGCCCTGCTTATACCCAAACACACAAGACTGAGTTTTTTCTTCCCTTTGGTATCTGCAAACAAGGCCCCACTTCACTGTAGCACTTTTTAAGACCCTATGTCCATTTAGTTATCTTGAGTTTCCCCCACGCTGATGCTGAGATTTTTGTGCTTTTGCTCCTCTACTGTTCCGTTAAACCCATCTCTACTTCCATACCCAAATAAGATCTATATTGCTTATGCTCCTCCACCACATGGTTCTCTATGCTGTCCTGCCCAGATGAATCCTCACACAAACCAGTGCCCCCAGACGAAACAAAAGCTTATGTAGGCATCCTTGGCAAAATGTTCTCCGCTTAATAAGGTGATTCAGTGGTATGTAGGGTTCTAGCAGAACCATAAAGGGGTCGTTTAATTATAAGCACACCTCACTGTAAGTATTATATCAGTTGGCCATTCATTCAGCAGCCATTTTGTCAGTTAGGATGAGTTCCTTGCCATGTGACACCTGGTTCTGTGCCTCTCCTCAGTCATGTGACGCCTGGTTCTGTGCCTCTCCTCAGTCATTTGACGCCTGGTTCTGTGCCTCTCCTCAGTCATGTGACACCTGGTTCTGTGCCTCTCCTCAGTCATTTGAAGCCTGGTTCTGTGTCTCTCCTCAGTCATCTTCAGTCGCCTCTGTGAGATGCACCTGGAAACAGACTCTGATGGTGAAGGGGACTTCCTGGCGGCTTTCGCCAACTACAAACCAGGTAACGGTGTCCTGTCCCAATCCCCCCTGCCATGTCAAACCCTTCAGCTGCGAGGGGGTGTCTTCAAATATGTTAATTGATGCATTTCACTGTTGACATTGGCTATTAAAAGACATGAAATGACACAATACCATTGCTGAAAAGGAGACAGCTCAGAGGAGGACTCGGATGAGTGCAGCTGTGCCAACGGTCGCTGTGTGCGCTCCTACCTGGGCACCATGTGTGAGTGTAATGCTGGCTTCCGGCTGGACCACTCCAGGACGCGATGCACAGGCAAGTTGGCATTGGCAAAGGCCACAGTGTGTGATACTTTTCATTCCAAATGCATGGTTTACCTGCCAGACGCCCGTTGTCA